TTTTTTTTCCTTCAAATGTGCAGAGGACTCCCCAAGTGCTGTGTTTAATTTATTTTAAAGTAGGCCTGTATATTATTTTTAATTCTCCTTATCAGAATCAGAATACCTTTATTAGTCCCACAGAGGGGAAATTTGCAGCGTTACAGCAGGAAAGAGCCACAGACAGCTTAGTGTTGCATATCTTAAATGCGTTAAAAAAAGTACTAAGTTATAATATAATAAACAAACAACACAACAATATGCTAAAAAAGTACTAAGTTATAATATAATAAACAAACAACACAACAATATGCTAAAAAATTACTAAGTTATAATATAATAAACAAACAACATGACAATATGCTAAAAAAGTACTAAGTTATAATATAATAAAGAATATGCAAAAAAAAGAAGATAAAAAACTAAAAAAATTACATAATTTTCTAAAATAAAGATCAAAAACAAATCAAATCTACAAATCAAATCCTGTAGCAGTTCTTAGGATTTAGCAGCCCAGTATATATTACAGTTATTAAAGATGGCATATGTATATAAAGTATATATTGCACATAGTTTGAAGGTATTTAACAGCAGTAAGTTACACAATTTACAAAATACAAGATAGATACCTTGTAACAGTAACAAGGGTTTAGCAGCCAGGTATAAATTACAGTTATTAACGGCATATATATATTGATTTAGCGGCCAGGTATAAATTACACAGTTATTAATGGCATATATATATTGCACAACGTTGGTTTGTATTTAGCAGCAAGGGGTGTTATAGTAGGTGTTGTGGTGTGTGTAGGAGGGTCTACTAGGGGCAGTGCTGGTTGTAAAGTCTGACCGCTGCAGGAAGGAAGGACCTGCGGTATCTCTCCGTGTGACAGGTGGGGTGCAGCAGCCTGTCGCTGAAGGTGATGCACAGTGAGGACAGGGTGTGTGGTAGGGAACCTGCTGTACAAACAGAGGTTTTTGAGGTACTTGTCATTTACTTGAGTCATGTATGCTACTTATTTAAATGTTTGGTTATAATCCACTAAAATTATTTAGTAGCTTTAGTTATACAGATTCAGATATCAATCTAAACTTCCAATCAACTAATATATTTTTAGGATTTTGAATCCAGGAAACACTTATAACAGAATATTCTTACGTCGTAGTATTGCTACTTTATACACAAGTCAAATATCTAAAAGCTTCTTTCCCCTCTGTACCACTGTACAGAACAGTAACTTTCATTTAGGGTGTTTTTAAAAAAAAACTTAACAACTTTAAGTTAATTCGAATAAAAAATACCAGTAGATTCTTCTTAACTGTTTTTGTTTTGTGTTTTTATTTTCACTTAACTTTGTCGACAGTATAGGAAGATTGCATTTGAGTTTTCACATCCAAAATTGGATTAAATTGGAACTTATTAGAGGTTGTCTGATGAGCCAAACAGAAAGACTGAACCCCTGTTTCTCCATGTTCACAGTAGGGCCTAGCGGAGATGCTGGAGTACAGAGGTCGCCTATAATCCACCTGTGGAAAGGCAGAACATATGAGGTAACATGCTGTTTATATAGATTTTCTGAAAATCTTCATTTGAACTGGCTTTATTATTGGTCTCCCTTTTACGCTTCCATCTTTTCTTAACAATTGATTTCTAAAGAAATGTTGCCTGCTGTAAAAGCAATACATTTCAGAATCTGGCTGCAGAGATTTGCTCTCATTCAGCGACAAGAACGTAAGTGGCATTCCACTTCATCCAAAGGTGCTGGATAGGGTTTATACTGGGGAAATGTTTCTTTATGGCGCTGGGTTTGTGCACAGAAAAGTGTATTTGGATTTAAGGTGCCTCGACCAAACAATGAAAAACAGGAGCTAGACCTTAAGTTAACAACTAAACTAACTACTGACAGGCATAAGTTTACCTCATTAGTTACATAACAAAGTAACTCAAGCAATCAGAAAGGCCAAAATCCAACTTCTTCATAACAATAATTAATGAGGCAAAAGTTAACACTAAAAGAATTTTGGTACAGATTAAAACCTTGATGGGAATCAAGCACAGGCCAGAAAAGCAGTTAGAACTAAAAGAGAATGGTAACCTAGTGCAGGGGTTCCCAACCTTTTTCACCCAGGGCCCCCCCAAATGACTCCTGTTGGAATTTGCGACCCCCCAAAACTTTGAAACTTTAATTATCGCTGTTGCCGATCTGCCCCCCTGCCCGATCTGTACTGTGCATGTGCGAGATGGTCTGCCATACTGGACAACTCCGTACGGCAACCCAACTAGGACACTTGACACAGTGGCGTTTGGCAAAGCACAAAAAGAAAATGGATTTAACTTCTGTTTGGCAGTTATCATACTGAATAAATATTTACTGTGAATGTATGCAAAAATGTATGGCATATAGCTGTCTAACAGAAGTTAAATCTATGTCTCACTTATTCTGACAATGTACTTAACCCCAAATAAAAGAACCCAATAAAACGAGTTGTTAAATAATAGTGAAGTCACGTTGTCATAACAATAACTCATCTCTCCCGGTTTTTTGTGTTCTTTTTCTGCTTTGCCAAACGCCACTGTGTGAAGTGTCCTATTACAGTTGCCGTATGTAGTTGTCCAGTATGGCGGACCATCTCGCACATGCGCAGAGGGCTGTGCAATTTAATCGATCCTGCGATATATATCGATATTTTGTTTCCCGAGAAAGTATCGATATTTCAGCCGCGGGTATCGATACATTAACTCCCATTCAAATCCCCCGTGTTCCGCCTGGCACTCTGCTCGCTGCCCATTCCCCGCCCGTTCGCTTTGCATGAAGAGCGGTTACGTCAGCCAGCCGAGCCGCTAGTGTCGCTAGAGCATTTCTAATCTAGATACACAGACGCCGGTGTCTTCTTCTCGCAGTGAGTGCGAAGCGGTTCAGGAGAATGGCGGCAAACATTAACCACACTGGAGAGGGTCTTCTCTACCGCCGGAGATATCGGCCCAATCCCAAACCACTCCCTCGACGGAGTGAACTCCGTCTGTAGCCACACTCGCAGCTCAAC